TTCTGGATGTGTTAGATAATAGCTTTAACATTGCCTTTCAGCATTCCGTATTTGCTCCATGTGCAGATTAAAACAAATAGCACGTTTACAGTATTGATCTGATAAAATGGGGCTTTCATCTGTTATTTTCATCCTCTTTTCAACAGCATTGACTGGTAAGTGCACGGCTGCATCCCGAATCAACCGTATTCAGCATGCAATGAAAGGATTTCCTGCTGAAAGATAAAACAGTATCAAATTTTTCTCTTGCAGGAAGTATGGCCATCAAAAGCCTGATTTCCCCCCAAGCCACACGCTTCAGTTATGTTGAAGTGACTCTTCAGAAACCCCTCAGCCTGATGGCATTCACACTATGCATGAGAGTGGCCACAGAGCTCCGTGGTGAGAGAGAAATCATCCTGTTTGCCTACCGAATTCCGAGTCATGATGAGCTGAATGTGTGGCGTGAGCTGGACGGACGGTAAAACACATTTGGTAACACTTTATAATTATTAACGTTACTTAGTTCATTATTGAGCATGAATAAACTATTTAATAAAGTATTAGCAACTGCTAAGACCTGTTATGTAATGCATTACTAAGCAGACTCCCCTGTCCTTTGTCCTAACCTTAAAAATAACAGTGTGTATTTTCCTTGGCGATAGGGGGCAGAACATACCTAAATCCCTGCAAGCAAGTGGTATTTTGTGTAAGCCCTTACCAACGGAAAGCTATTTGGGTCAAAAATTCCTGGGAGCGCAGCGTGTACTTTGTCAGATTGTTCATCCTCCAGCAAAATGACAAGTACGTCAATCTCCCTTTTCTTACTGGCAACAAGTGAAGAGGTAAATGTGTAAATCAACAACGTTTGCGAATGGCAAACGTTTCGTAGCTCCTCGTTACAAATCAGTAAATACATTTTGTCCTCATGGGTTCACGTAGAAGGAAATACCACGTCTAATATGGCATTGCCCAGAGACCCACTCCCGTGTGTTTTAGATCTGATTTTTATGTTATATGTTACAAAGCCGCTAATATTTTTTAGCATCTGGGCCTCATTTAATTAATATTCAACAAGAATTTCAATGGCTATTTCCAGAGATTAATGGTGAAAAACTACACATTGTCTCTTTAAGGACAATTAATAACAAAATCGGGACCATTAATGAAGGGACTCTTTGTTTATTAATGCTTAATAATGCACTAAGTAACGTTGATAAAGGGACTCTTCTTAAAATGTGTTACCACACTTTTAATATAGGCTTTACCATACACAAGCTGCCACAACAGATCTGTCTCACTGATCTGAGTTTAAAACTATATTGTGTTCAGGTTTTCCATCTACATAGGTGGAGAAGGAGTTCATTTCCACATCCCAGAGCTCAGCTCCATGCAGACTCAGCTGTGTGTCACCTGGGATTCCAGTTCAGGTGCAGCAGCCTTCTTCATCAATGACAAAAAAAGTTTGACCAAAATCTTCAAAAGGGGTCACATCATCAGATCAGAAGGCAGGATTGTCCTCGGTCAGGATCCAGATGCATTCTTAGGTGGCTTTGATGTCAAGCAGAGTTTTGTTGGGGAGATTCTTGATGTGAACTTGTGGGACTATGTTCTGTCAGACACAGAAGTACAAGACACGTTTGTTCGGAAAAGGGGAAATGTTATTGACTGGGAAACCACTCAGCTCAATATCAATGGTGAGGTTGTGGTTGTTGATGTCCAGCTATAATGAGATATAATAAATATTTTGTTTTCTCATGTTTTCACAAATAAAACATGGATTTTTCTTTTGTCATCAGAGAAAACAGAGTAGAGACCACAGTGGAATAGAAGAACAAATCTGGTCATCTGATGGGCTGCTTTTATTACCTGACACACGGGAGGCGACCCGCGGCAGCGGCCAGCGGCAAAGCCGTCTACGCGTTCTGTTCCATGGCTAAATTGAAACTTCCGTTGTTTTGCTTGGCTGTGTCAGGTTGGAGGGAATTAACCCTTGTATTATGTTGAAAAAAAATCACATTGGTTATGTTGCGGGTCATTTTGACCCACCCTGTCTAAATTCACTTAGAACTGTAAAAAAAACTGCAATAAAACAGGAACTTTATTTTCCATTAGAAAAAACATTTAAAACACAGACACACAATAAAGTTTGAATACAGTGGCGGAGCTTGATATGTGCAACATGTGCGGCCGAACAGGGCGGCAGTCTGCAGGGGGCGGCATTTAATTTCCTTTTTTTTTTTTCTAAAATTTTTTTTATTTTTAGCATCAACCAATACATAAACAAAACATAGAAATTGCATGTTCTTAATAATAATAGTGATGATAATAATAATATTTCTGTAATAAAAGCACAACAAAGTGTAACCCATATCAACTACTCCCTGTCACATGACCCACGTCAGCTGATGTGAGGTCCCTCTCCTGATTGGCTCCTTCCACGTCGCGGCAACCATGAAAGCTGCTCCTGCCGTGGCTGTAAGCTTGTTGCTTGTAGAACGGCGTTGGAAAACAAAGCGTTTTTCTCCCCTCAATTCATTTATACTCTAATTTTACCTCAGCGGTAAGTGTTCTTAACATCTACCAATAACACCCTTTTACTTGTCAGTGACCAGTCGATCGTTTTCGCTATAAAAAATGACCTTGTTCGGCGGAGTTCCCACCGCGAGCAGAACTCCGGTTCAAAAATGCTGTTTTTGAAACACTTTTATTTACTTAAGCACTTTAATGGGCTTAACTTGAAACCAAGAGCAATCGAATGATTATTGTTATGTGTTGCCTTGAATTCGGCTATGCTGTCTGTCAGACAGTTGTTTTCCTTTATTGTTGTTTTTGTATTTGTTTGTAGCAAACGTTACTGGAATGCATAGATTGAGCTACGTAGCCAAGATGATTAATAATTGACCTGTTGTACATTCGTGATATGTTTACCGGTAAACTGAATAGAACTTGATGTGCTAATGAACGTTTCTCTGGCCTACAGGTCAGGTTTTTTTCCCCATGTTGAACTGATCTTCTTCATATTGAAGTGGCGAGCTGGTAGGACCATTCTTTCTTTATGGAATCGGGAAATTAGCCATTATTTACCCCATGAAAAACGGAGCGGCAGCGGGCCGCTGGAGGCGCCCTGCTAGTATGATCCCGTTTAAACTGTAAACTGCCATAAAATAAAAACTATAATAGCTAAAGTGGTCTTTTTTTAGCTGAAAGTTGAGACTCTCGCCTTTCAGCACATCTGTACTGTACAAGTCGATGATGCCATCATGTTGCGTTAAGTGTGTCTATTTCAGTAGAACTTTGACAAGTGGTGAGAAGGTGGCCAGGAGCTGGATGTTGTATTCAGTTAGCAAACGTTGTTATATATACACTCCACGCAATTTGAAACAAAGTTGTAGGTGTAATGTTTTTTCGTGTGTGTGGGGGGGGGGGGGGGCGTCACAGGGGGATCTCGCACAGGGCGCCATTTAGGCCAGCTCCGCCTCTGTTTGAATATCCAGAACTATTTGTAAGAACTAGTTAGTAAAAGTTTTCCTTCTTTACAAACACTTTTATTTTTCTCAGATTTTCAATGTTCAACATTTTCAGTGTTGTCCACATGATGGACAGAGTGTAACTGTGTGCTTTCTGCAAATGCACTTCTTGCACTTCTCACAAACGGTGCTTGTTTTAATGTCTTATCGTGAGGGACAGACCTGGCATCTTTTTCGTTTCTTTGCACCTGTATCCACTGGATTCATTGTACATTGGTCAGATGATGCAGACCTGACGTTTTCAATGAGAGCTGCTGCTGCTGGGGATCGAGCTGGTCTGGCTCGCCTCTGGATCTCGGGGGTGACAAGACTTTTTCCCAGTTCTTCCAGGAAAAGCCGACGTCGGTACAGTTTGCCGACATTCCAATGTTGGTTGATTTCAGTCCACAGGACAAAGGCACTGTAAGCTGACACATCCACAATGTTGTAGAAAATCACCAAGGGCCAACGAGCTGTTTTGCGCTGGCAGCTGTATGTTGCTGTGACTTTGTCAAGATTGTCTACTCCTCCTTTGGTGGAGTTGTAGTCCAGGATCATTTGTGGTTTTTTGTCTTCTCTTGTGCTCAGAGATGCATCTGTGTGCATTGTGCTCATGACAAGAACATTTTTGTTTTTCTTTGGGCAGTATGAAACAACTGTTGCTTTCTCGGTGAAAACAAATTTTGAGGAATGTGGAGGTCTTCCCTGCATCTTCAGAATTTCACTGGGAAGTTCTGGTTTATTTTTCCTGATTGTTCCCAACATAGTGAGCTTTCTTTTCTGAAGTTCATCTCCAAGCCAGTATGATGTAAAGAAGTTGTCACAGGTGATGTTATGCCCTTGCAGCCCTTCACTCATCTGCAGCACCACACGCATCCCCTGATTCTTCTCAGATGCCTCTCCAGGTAGCTTTCCGGTGTACACCTGCATATTCCATGCATAGCTAGATTTAGCATCACAAGCTGCCCATATTTTGATGCCATACTTGGCCGGCTTGTTGGGCATATACTGTCGGAAAGGACAGCGGCCCCTGAATGGAACAAGGCGCTCATCTACAGTCACATGGGGACCAGGGTTGTACAACAAAGGTAGAATCTCCACCCATTTATCCCAAACATCTCTGATTGCAGCAAGTTTGTCTCTTTCACAGCGACTGGCTCTGGTTTCACGGTTGTCAAATCGGATCACACGAGATATCTTGTGAAATGTCTCAAGAGACATTGTTGCACGAAAGATCGGCCTTCCATTCTCTTCATTCCATAGACTTGCATTTGCTTCTCCCTTTGACCTGTATACTCCAGCTAATACCAGGATTCCAATATAAGCATGCAAGTCAGTCAGATCCATGGGCTTCCATTTCTGTTGAAATACACGCCTCCCCTCCAAGTTAGTCATGTCCAGTATAATCTTTTCTATTGGAGAGGGTATGAAGAGATGAAATGCTGAATGGATATTATCAACTCGTGTGACTGCAAATCTTGTAGGACCAGGTGTCATTTTGATGACATTAGCAGATGACAGTCTGCCTCGACTTCGGTGTGGTGATGTTGACCATTTTATTTTACCATCTTTAGATGTCCATGCCCCCTCTGTAGATGATGATTGCTGCATTCCTTGGTTTTCACTTGATGAAGCGATGACAGAAGACTCCTCTTTAGAATCCTCATCAGAAAATTGGTAGTCTGGATCATCAGTAACATTGTCCTCAGCCTCTGAAAAATCCTCTGTCTCTGAAACATCTTCTTCGTCATTGCTTTCCCAGTTAAAAAGCTGAGATAAAGCTTCTTCAGCTGTCAACCTTCTAGAGCTCATTTTTGGTGTGTTGAAATCACATGACATCAGTTACAAGAACAGGGCAGAAAAAGTTTCTCGCGCACACACCTGGGCCTCTGGGTGTGAATGTATATTCAGAAGCAATCACAACATAGCACATCAAAGAGTCATGTTTATTTTTGTTCTGAACAGCTTTTTACTCACATTAAAGTGTGTGGGTCAAAATGACCCGCAACATCATTTTTGTATACAAAAACTGCTAAGACTTCCCAGGACACATCAAAGTGTCCATATTTCTCATACCAGTTCATGACCCCAGATAAGAAAAAGTCATAAAGTTTCATTAAGAAAAATAGAAGATGATCAGCGCTATGGTCAACACAAAAACTGGAACGGGTCAAATTGACCCGTAACATAATAAGAAGGTTAAGGTTATTTAAGCGGTTCAGAGTTAATAAAGTGGTAGATATGATGTTTCACAAGGTGCTGCTAGAGTTATGTGAAATCTTACTTCTGATTTTACTATAAAACATAATAATAATCAACTTCTCCTTCATGTTTGCTCGGAGAGGTACGGAGCATCCTGTCCGCTCATTGGTCAGTGAATGAAACCTCCGTTGATTGGTCCTCGTCCGAGTGACAGCGATGAAAAGTCGAAAATGTTTCAACTTTCTGGGATCGCGTCGCTGGGTCTTCTATCGGATTAGATTTGTGCCAATAGGATCAAGAAAATCACTTTGAAGATCAAACAAAAATTAAGAAATTGACAGAACAAAAATATTGACTAAAGGAAAAAAAAGTTTCAAAAGTAAAACTTGCTATCTGAATCAACTTCTTAAAATGAGTAACAAAGTATGTTTCCTTTTTCTGTTTGCCCTACAATTGCCTGTAAGATTGGTGTTATAAACATTGCTTTTAATTTAGTTTCCAAATCTGGAACTGCTCTTCCTCCTTTTTCTAGAGGTCCATACATAATGTCTCTCTTTATTCTTTCCTGTTTTCCTCCCCATAAAAACGGAACATATTCATTCTAAGTGTCATCATACACTTATGGGGGATTGGAAAACTATTGCCAGGTGTGTTATTGTCGCTAAAATTTCTGCTTTTATCACAAATCTTCCCGCTGAATGACAGTTCTCTCTCCACTGAAATAATTTCCTCTATTCTGGGGATAACTGCCTCCCAGTTCTTATTCGCCATGTCCTCTCCTATCTCCATTCCTAACATCTTAATAGTTTCCTTCCCTCTCACCAAATTTCCCTCCTCCATCCTCTCCCTCCAATTTACAAAGGGGACCTCACACTTCTATTAAATTTCATCCCTGATGCTTTTCCAAAATACTGACATACAGACAAAGCTTCCTGTATTGACCGATTATCAACTAGCAGAAGAGTAAGATCGTCCATATACATTAACATTTTGACTTCCGTCCCCCCAGTTCCTAGTGGAATAATCCCCTTTATCCCACTGTTGCTTTTCAATACACATGCAAGTGGTTCAATCACTAAGACAAACTGTATAGGTGAAAGAGGGCACCCCTGCCTAATTCCACGTTCTACCAGAATGGGTGGAGTAATAGATCCATTCACTTGTATTACACTAGAGCAATTAACATGTAAAGTGTGGATCCATCTCTTAAACTTTTCTCCAAAACCCATCCGATCAAACAGCCCTCTCATGAATTCGTGGTCAACACTATCAAAAGCTTTTTCCAAGTCTACACTCAAAAGACTGAGTAGCTGGTCTCTTTAGAATACAGGTAGCAGTCTCTAATCAGTGACAGGCCATGTGCCATCTTTCATCCAGGAATCCCACACAATTGTTCTTCCCCCACCAGTAAATGCACTAATTGCAGTCGCAGGAACACAGCTATTGTCAAGATTTTCAAATCTGTCCCCAGCAATGTTAACGGCCTCCAGCTTTTAAGCTTTTTTCGAGCCTTTCTGATTCATGGACTGGGGGAGGTTGCCCTTCTCCAATGCTTCGTTATAAACCATTAACAGAGAGTTTCCTAGTTGAGGCCAAAAACAGACAAAAATCTCCTTTGGCAACCCATCAAAACCTGGGGATTTATTATTCTGCATACTAAATAATGCCTTTGTGATCTCATTAATTGATAATTCTTTCTCTAAGTCCATCATTCCTGCTCTCCCACTCATATCTCTTACACTATCCAGGAAGGGATCCATATCCTCTGTTGATTGCCGTTTATACAGGTTTTTGTAGAAACAGTGGATCATTACCTCCAAACAGTGGATCATTACCTCCACTCTTGCTGGGTCATTCACCTCCCGACCTTCCTGATCTATCAGTTCGTCTGTGGTAGTCTTTGGTTTCATTATCCTCTTAAAAAAGTAGCTTGTACATTTTTCATCCTGTTCCCAATGTAAAACCCGACTTCTTATAAGTACCCCTCTACTTTTAACTTCCAAAGCATCCATCATATCTTTTTTAATTTAGTTATTTCTTCATTCACCAGGAAGCCTCTCATCAGAAGGCTATAATACCGCTGTAGTTTAGCCTGTTGTCTCTTTAGTGTTAACAGTAATACAAATGTCCATAATGGCCTGTCATGGCCCTGCCATGACCTGATGTTTTCTTGATGTTTGACATGACCTGATGAAACCTGAAGTTCCCCTTGCTGATACTCACCCCTCCCTTTGGGCAATGTATTTCTGTCCTAAGTTCCTGTTTTGTGCTGAGAAAGTAGCCGCTTCTTGTTCAAAACTGTTAGAAAAGCATATATTCAAATAAGATTGCTCAAATCGAAAATGTACCGACTTGTGACCCATCCCTGCTTTAACTTGTGACCCATCCTTGCTTGAACGAATAAATACAGCCGTGACAAAGCCGAGAATCAGAACACTTTGAGCAGTGACTGAAGCAAGTCGGCTGACCTTGCATGAGTACTGTCGTGTTCGCCCTCTGCAGCGGTGAATCGTATCTTGACTGGTTTTTGACTCCAACATCAACTCAGAAGCAAACATCTTTTTCTCCAATCGTCCCGAACCTGTCTGGTCGCTTTTCAGGGCCAACATTAGCCACACTTGCCGTTTCTCTACCCGCTGCTTTCCTGCCCAAATGAAGAACCTTTTTGTTTGTCTTTTTATATCCTCCCGCCATTGACCAATAGTATTAAAAAGGGGTTGCAATGTAAACCACTCTTCCAACTTTCCCTTGTATTTTTGTACAATCTTTTCATCCTCTAGTAAACTAATACTGAGTTTCCAGCTACCATGGGCTGGTTTAGATCCCCCTGGGATCTGAACCACACATGACAATTTGTGATGGTCAGAAAAAGGAACCAAATCTATTGCTCCCGAAATAGGTGTTATCTTATTGGCTACAAAAATGTAGTCAATTCTTGAGCATGATCTTCCATCTGACCAAGTATAAGCAGAGGGGGCTGAAATAATATTTTCCATTACATCTATGAGATTACAATTTTCAATCAAACTTCTCAACACCTTTGAACTGGTCAAGTGGTCTAACCGATGTGTTTTGTCTGTATTCTAAGGGGCAACTGAAGTCCCCACCTGAAAGTATTGGCTTCATATGACATAACTGGGCCTGAAGGGCCTGAAAAAGTGAGATCCATTCATGCAGATTATTAGGGCCATAAGCATTTATAACCCTAAACTTCTGCCTATAACGCTCTACATCCACCACTAATGATCTCCCATCCACCAACTTCTCCACTTTAATAGAAAAGGAGTGGCCATTAAACAAAATCGCCATCCCTGATGCTCTATTTGAGTTATCCCCCAACCAAATTGAAGGGCCATATGACCATGACTCTAAAAACTTTGTATGTTTCTCTATAAACCAAGCCACAGTCTTGTAACAAAAAGATGTCTCAATCAATCAATCAAAGCTTTATTTATAAAGCTTCCCCCCGTATCATGTAGGTATTCTAAGACCGTTTTACATTTTACAGGGTCGTTAAGGCCCCTCGTATTCACAGAGGCCCCCCCCCCCCAACATCTTTTTTTACCCTACTAGAAAAAGCAACCCAGTCCTCTTCATTTCTGGGTCTATGTTGTCTTCTTCTTTATCTTCTGTGATTTCTATGACACTGTTGGTGGGGACGTATTGTGGTCCTCACTATGGCCCTTTTCCCATCAGGGTAACTCCTGCAAAGGCTGACAGCACCTTACTAACACAGGTCCGTTGCAACAACGTAGTCGCAACATATTTTCTGACACCTTGTGATGTTGCAGGAACGTCCATGTTACGTAGTAGCGACTTCCAAAGTGAAATTCCACTACGACGTTGTCAGAACGTCACATTGGACGTTGCTGGAACGTTGTCGCGACATATCCACAACTTTACTGCAATGTTGTGATAACATTGCTATTATAACGTTGTGACAACGTACCAACTAAATGTTTGTGGCATGTTGCAGAGACGCTTTCAGGTTAACTTTTTTCTTTTTGTCACCTTTATTCATTATGTAGATACCACAGGAAATTATATTGCAAAACTAATGGCAGATTAACAGCAAAAACAACCAGAATGGAAAACCAAATGTATAAAAAGCTTTAAAACAAGTAATATAGGACAGCGGTGTCTTGATTTCATTTAAAAGCTCTACTATATGTTTAGTATGCATAGGTTTTCGTTTCTGAACCACTGGAGAAGATAATGCAAAGAAGGATTCTCCACAGAATCAAGAAAATTATGGACAACCCTGAGCATTCTCTTCACAAGACTTGAGGATCCTTCCTGCCAACAGCCATTGTGATATACAATAACTCTTTGATGACTTGATTATTATTATTATTCTGAGCTACTACAGCAATCAATTTCCCTCTGGGATTAATAAAGTATTTTTGAATTGAATTGAATAGTAAGCAGCAGGATCAGATGTAATTTCACAGGATGGACAATAAACTGACTTTTCAGCTTTTTGTTACATAAAGATTTTACATTTGCATACACAATTTAAACATTTTTATAGCGCCTCTCAAAATTAAAATTACAAGGCACTTAAAGAAATGATCAAATTATATATATATATATATATATATATATATATA